TCTGCATACACTTTCACATCTGTCACCTCTAGTGTACATCTCTGTAATGAAGGCTCATCTTTGCCATTTCTTATATAATAGCGTTCATTAACAAAAATTTTATTTGATATAAACAAAGCTTTATGTTAAACACACTGCTGAAATTAACATTGAACACTGTCTTAAAGAGGCAACGCTGTACATTTACAATTCGTTATACTTAGAAAAGAATTCAAACAACACAATGATGTGAAATTGTGGTAGTATAGGATGAAATTATCTGTTTTTAAATTTTCATGACTTTTTAAATATTCAATTGATACATGAAAAATTAAGGGGCCTGCCCTCTAGCTCAGTTCTGTAAGGGGCTGCTTCAACAAAGCAGTCAGGCTCAGGTTGCTGTGGTTCGATCCCCACAACTCGAGCCACCCAAACCTGCCCTGAAGGCATTTGGAGCAAAAAAAAACAAAAAAACCACGAAAAATTAAAATCTAAATCCAAATGACAACAAAAACAATCCTCAGGAAAAAAAAATAATGTGGATCTCACTAGTTGCTGAGGGTCTTGCTTCAGTTCTCACCAAGTTGCTCATTTGATTTGACTGGGCTCAAACCTGCCATCAACCTGCTTCAGGCTTCCAGTGCTGGGATTACATCATCATTTCTTACAGATTCTGAATGATACTGTCATTAGCATTAAGAAAGCCATGAGGTGGGTGAGATAGCTCAGTGGACTAAGCGCCTGCTAAGGCAAGCACAGGAACCAGGGTTCTATCCCTGGCACCACAGACTGCAGCACAACGTGACCCAGCCACTGAGCCCGGGTGTGGTGGCACATGCCTGTAATCTCAGTGCTGGGTAGGCTGAAAACAGGATGATCACTATGAGTCCGTGTAGTAAGATATTGTACCAAATAAGCTTTTTTTAAAAAGGAAGCCCTGGAAAAAGGAAATAGCATTTACTTTATTTATGAAGGTAAACTACCTCTATTTTTTCTGGACTCAATCAGCCATGGAAGGACATCACAGATGCAGGGTCTAAAGATAGTATTTCTGCTTTGGTAACTGTCACATGGGGTTGCCAACAGCCCCCAACCTGTTCCTATGACACACCACATCCAGTGGCTGCCACAGTACTCTCACACAGAGAAAGGCAGAGTACTGAACCCTCTCTCCCCCACATGCTGTAATGTTTTCAGCCAAACCCTGGCCTTTTGGTCTCATCCATCCACCTCTGCAATTCTAGGCTTCCATGTGGCATGAAGGATGAATGGTGACAACAATCAGGAGACTTCTTCAGGGCTGAGACTAAGTCTAGAGACAGGTCATGTCTTGGATTCTGTCTTGCTTCACTCTCCCTAACACCCTACTGATCCTTCTCAAGTTTGAAGCAGGCTATTTCTTTAGTATTTATCTCAGTCTTAAATGTAAATCCATGTCCACTTACCTGCTTGGCCCGGAAATCTTTATGCATCCAGGAATCCTGACTCTCTGCTTTGCAGGCCTCTGGAAACTTGTAGATGTGCACCGGCTTGACCTCCCTAAGCAAAGAAGAATTAACTCAAAATTGACCACTCTGTGAATTAACTATCATAAATATATGAAAAGAATGGTTTCCTTTTTTAATACTGTCGATGGATTTGAAATTTTCTTTAGTTAATAAATCCCTACACTTCAGGGATTAATAGAATCTATTAGGGGACCCAGTCCTAGCCCAGGTCCGGTGAGTGTGTAGAGAGTTTCCTGCTACCCTGCGCCGGCGGGACCAGTCCCAGCCCAGGCGCAGCGTGGGCCGGACCCTCTCCCAGCCCCTCGGGCCGCCCCC